TTTCATTATTTCTGTTTTGTTCTGTTTTGTTTTTGAACACTGAACTTTATATACCACATGAATGTTAGCTGCGTTTGATTCTTATTTTCGTACGTAAGCTTGCAATCTAACTGAGCGTGAATCAATCTTTAAAACTCGGAATGTCTATTTTGTTTTTCCTTTGAGGATTTTCGTATCTGCTCACGTTTTAATAACGTAAATTACGGCGCCTAGTATGTTTACAAACCTTTATTTTATTTTTCTACTTCTTGCCGGCTCGCTTGTTCCGAAATTTCACTTTCAATTATCGGAATAAAGCTAAAAAGAAGTCCCAGAAAAGGTCGAACATGGTAAAATTTGGCAGATGGCGTGACAGCTTTAGCTCAGCTCTATGCTCTATACTCTCATAGAGCACGCTCTTTCAACCAATGACAGCGCGCGTTATATCCGAACTTTATTATAATAATATATAGATTTAGCCTAGCCTTAAAAAAAGAGGAGCTCTTGTTAGTCTGTTTTCCAGCCCTTCACTGTAATGAAAACTGTTATACACCTCTTCATCACTGGCTGTAGAAGAGTTTCTTCAAGGGGATGTTAATAGTAACCAGTCCGGGGAATGAGGAGGGGGAGGAGAATTGACGAGGTCTGCAACCTTGGGACGATGTTCTCACAACTTGCAAAGCGATCAACACGCATGCTAGTCAGTAGTACCTTCAAGGTCCAAGTTCAAGTTATTGTTCGTGATGTTTTGACCATTTTTCGAAGGTCGGGAATGTTTTCTTCTTCAGATGAAGTGCATGATGTCGGCATCAAGCTTCAGTTGAAATCATATTCTATTGAGCATGATTGATAATTTCGATTTGGGAAAATGAGCCAAAATTGCCCCACCGTTTTTCCCTAACGTTTCAACATCCTCTGATAAAAAAAAGTCATTTTATACTCGTGTTCGAACTTGTTACGTTTTTTTTTAACTTTTTCTCTTTGGCTATATTTTTTTCCATGATTATCCTCTGGCTGGAAATACACTGTGTCTTTTTGAGATTTTTTCTGTCATTTGATTCAGTAATCTCTGTTGTAACTGCATATAATGTAGGTGTCTTTAAGCCATCTTAAATTCATGATCTTAGCAACTCTTGCTACTAAATTCGAAATTGGTCTAACATGTTTCATGCGGTGCGAAAGTTTTATTTAAAGGAAGACAAGTTAGAACGAGAATATCATGATTAAAAACTTGAGGTGATAGCTGGATACAATCTATAAGTAATTTTTTATAACAGAAATCAATTCCAAACATCAATCAAGTTTTCTCTTTAGTTTAAAAGTTGAGTTAATGTTGTTATTGGCATATAATTAGGTTGAAAAGTTTTAGTTCGTATTTTTTCATGTTTGCAAATAACTGAATTTAGTGGGAGGTGGATTTGTTGCAACATGTTGACATGAAACACAACAATGAATTTTATTGATGTGTAAAAACTTTTCATTTGACTATCCACTGGAAGCTGGAATACTTTTATAGCCATCACGAAGCGATGCGACGTGTGAGTGTAATATGATAGCTTTTTCCACAAGGTAAATTTTCCGTTGTCGACTCGTCGCTTTTTCAAACCTAAAATTTCTTTGTTTTTCACAACAACGCTATACTAAGGAAACTTATGCACTGAAAAACAAAGGCACATCAGTCGCGCATTTATTTCGACCGTGCGCGCAAAAAAATTGTATATGCGCGTCTGATTACCCTACGTCTGAGCGTGTGAAATCCGTTTGCGCAGTTACCATATACACAAGCGGTACAGTAGTTCCTGTTGCCAATGTTTTGATGAGGTTGGGCTGTTAGGACAAAGGAACAGAGGATTTTATTGGGCAGTGAATTTTTTTCAAACCTGGAAACTATCATCATGAAAAACCATACTTATGCTTGGTAACTCATTCATACTCTGATAAACTAGTTTTAAGAAGGATGTAATATTTTATCACGTAAATTTGATGCGTAGGCTGTGCACAAACTTTATTTTGAGTATACTTACATAGCAAATAACAATCCATACACACAATAAGATGTTAGTAGGATCAGAAGAAAGTTTTATGTGCCATACATCTGCAAGATTTCACGTAATTATTTCATTTGCATGAATATTAACTGATACTAGGAGATCTAAGAAAATTCAAAAGAGTATAAAATTTGGTCACAAAATTAGAACTCAGCATGGGGCGGATAATCAAGATTGTTAGAAAAAGAAATGTTTACTCTTGAAAAAGCTAAGCAAACTGTTTTACAACACTTGCCTGTACCTTTTCGGCACGTAGTTAAGTCACTCGAAATAGTCATAATCCTGGTTTTAATGTTAAAAACACATACACATAAAATATATTAAAGTTCACACGGCAACCAGGTGGACAATCAGACATAGT